TTTGCAGGTTACATATTTGACTAACAACTCATGCAGAATATATTAAGAACTCTTAAAATTCAATAGCAAGAGGAAAAAACAAGTAATCTAATTAGAAAATGAGCAAAAACCATAAGAGAATTTCTTGCTCTATCAGGAAACTTCTCTTGCCTTCCTGGGGTCCAGGTTATTTTCCCTACCTTCTGCTGAGTTTCTGCAAAACCCTGGTGCAGTAGTTTTCTTTGGTTATGTGGTGATTTGTCACACAGGAAAAAAAAAACAAAAACCCTAATTCATCAAGAATACTTTCTCACTGGAATCCACACCCCACAGGATTCTGAACCATTGTCTTGGCAGGGATCAGAAGCAGGGGAAAAGCTGTCAGGAAAGATTTTTACAAAGATCTCAGGGACCAAGAGTCAAGGAATAAAGTGATGGCTTTGACCTGTAACATAAAGACAAATTTGATTCTCTTTACCCTGACCTCTGCTGTCTTTTCATTATAAATTAAGGGGAGGTATGAGACTCTGTCCTCTTCAATAACTCTGGCTTCTTTAATGAAGAATGTTTTAGGCAACTGGAGTGTAATTAAAGTGATATTATATTACTTTTATTAACATGATTATAGTAAAACATAGATTTCAGCTGGTGCTTTCCAGTGGAATTAAAATGGAAACAGATGGCTGACATTTTGGTTGGAATTAGGAATATTTTATATGTCAGCTTCTTTTTTAAAAAAAAGAAAGGTGCAAACCTCTCATAAGATGTCTAGAAACTTTACCAGGTATTTTCAATAATTATTTTTAGAGCAATATTTTAGCAAAATTTAAAACTATTGATTGGTCGATAGTTAAGTGGTAAAATATTTATTTAGAATTGTGACAACCATAGTCCAAAACCTAGCTGTGAGCCTTTATTATTATTATTATTATTATTATTATTATTATTTCAAAAGTCATCAGTCTAAGATATCTTATGTCTCCAAATGTGCAACCTTGAGAAGGACACGGGGTCAGTTATGTAGTTTTCTGGTAGGGAATGGATAACCAGAATCTAATCATTAGCATATCATGCAAACCACCAAACATTTTATAAAAAATGTTCTGTGAAAGAAAGAGGATGGAAGCCGCTAAAATATCAATATCATAAAAGACAAAGGCTGTGGAGATATTCCAGATTAAAGAAGGCTAGAGACAGGGTTACCAAATGCAATACTTCGTCCTACTCTGGCTTTTTTGTTAAGGTATAGTCAGAGCTGCAAAAGGCATTGTTGTGTCAACTCTGAAAATATTGGACAATAGTAGATTATGTAAATGTAACTTGTCAATCTGAAATTTCCTGCAGTTGATAACAGTACTGTGGTTGTATGAGAGGTTATCTCTAGAGAAATACACACAAATGTATTTAGGGGTTTAAGAAAAACCATGCAGTGTACAATTTACTTTCAAATGGCTCTGAAAAAAAGATATCTCTTTCTCTGATAAATTTGATTGCATCACATCTAGAGACTTCTGCAGAGCAAATACCACGAAGATAAAAGACATAGTGAGAGAAAATATTTGCAACACATTGACACAGAAAAATAATTACTATACAGAAAAAAATATACAAAATACCTACAACCAAATAAAACTAACATGAAATTTATAGAAAAAGAAATCCGGCTGTCTGATAAATGTAGGAAAAATGGTTATTCTCATTATAATCAAGAACACATACGCTAAAATCCTGACACTAATATTTTATAATCTCCACTTGGCAAAACATGAGAAGTTGGATAATATCAAGAGTCACTGAATCTGTAGAGGGACAGATATGTCTGGACCTCACTGGTGGAAAGCAATTTGGTAATGTTCAATAAAAGTAGATCATGCACACCCATGACACAGCAACTTTTCTTCCAGGTGTGTTCCCTGGAAACATAGCTGCACCTTAGTTCCAGGAGGTAGGGCCAAGAAGTTCCATTGCAGCAGCACTGGCAGTCACGAGAAAAGTTAGAAACAACCTAAATTCCGCTAGTACTGGAAAAGATAACTAAATTGTAAATAGTGTTTTAACAGAAGATCTATAGGCAGTTGCAAATGAATACATCTGATTCATATTATCAGAATGGGTAGGTGGGTAATACAGCATGTTGAGTGTGTGATAGTGGCATTCAGGCCAAGTCTTTAACACCTAGAAAGTGACACAGGAAGGGAGTGCGGCCAAAGCCAGCACTGTTTCCTCGGGGAAAAGGAGGGAGGAGAACAAGACAGAGGAGGGAAGCCAAAGGGCTTCAGCTCCATCTCTAATGTTGTTTGTGAATATGTCAATTTATCACCTAGATACTTTTAAATACATTTATCTTTAAAACAACCAAATTTTTAAAAGTGTTTATTTATGGTGTTGGGTCCATGAATGTTAGTTACATTAATCTCATTTTAAAAAAAATATTTTTAGAATTTTCAAAAGCTGGTTTTTCAAAACTCCCCAATTACTTGGTATATGGGGTCCCATGAGAATCTGGATGTCATTGCAGTGACAGACAGGCATGTTCCTCTCCGTGCTGTGTCTCCAAAAGCCCTCTTACACACAGCTCTCACATATACCCAGGAGCGACCGGCCTGGCCACCTGCCTTCACAGGTTGTTCATTAATAAGTTGTACTAGATAATCCTCTAGGTCCCTTTCACTGGCCCATAAAAGGAAAACCCTTTTTCTTACTGCTTTCAAAAGGCTGTCATGTTATTTTTTTTTGTTCATAAAAATTTACTTATTGGGACTACAAATATATATGATCATTATGGAAAATTTCAATACAGAGAAACTAAAGAATGCCTCATAGCCCTATTTCCTAAAGAGAATAAAGGATACTATTAACCATTTGATAAGTTTTTGTCCAGTCAATTTTTGGGTAGGTAAGCAAACATATGCAAAATATAACTACATAATTACAACTTAATAACTATCACTTTGTTACTTCTCCTCTGTCCATGTTTGTTCTGAGAAAGTTGTGCCTTTCATTTAAACATACTGGATATTGTTTGAAACCTTAGAGCATAATTAATATAGACAGGTTCTTATCGGTAATTGCTTGTTTCTGGTAATCACTTGTTTCTTGTTTTCACTGTGGTCAGCAGTGCTGAATAGCATTCTATGAAAGAGTTTGGGTAGCTTTTATCCCCAAAATTGTTTCATTAAGATAAATCCTGAAGTTGGAATTTCTGGGTAGAACCTTGTGAAAAGCTCATACTTTGATATATATTACCAAACTGCCTTCTGGGAAGATTGGGTCAATGGATTCCCTTAATATCCTATAGTAACTGTTCACTCCATGTTAGATATTGGCTGCCTGCTTTAAACATGGGGACAAATTCTCTTACCAGCCCTGTGAGGTGGGTACTATTATTATCTCCAAGTTACAGAGGAGGAAACTGCACACAAAGAAGATGAATAATTGGCCCCATTCTCAGAGCTGGTAATAGTAGAGCAAGGGTTATCGTTTAGGGCAGAGGTTCAGTCCTAACCAATACTATTTCTACTAATAATTTCTGAAAGTACTAACTAGCTGGAATACCTTGGCTAAGTCTTAAAACCTCATCCATAAAATGCAGGTAAGAGTAGGACCTCTTCCACAGAGTTGTTGTAGAGACTGAATGAGCTCATGTAAAGTATTTGACAGGGAATACAGTTTAGCAGACTACAGAAGCACTCACAAACTTTAGGTGTTATTATTTCTTCTATTATTTGTGAGCCTGAGCATTTTAAAGTTTTATTGTTTGTAATTCTCCAATAAAGTGCTTGTTCATATAATCTGTACATTTTTCATTGTGTTTCTTAGATGTAACTCCCTTTTTTCCCCCCGGGGACAGATATCTAAATAGATCAAAAGCAGAAACAAGTGTTAGAACTTCTGCTACTTTCTGCCACTTTGCTGAGCACACTGCATGAGCTGCCCTGCTCTCTGGTTCTCACCATTTCCTCGTTGCCACTGTGAGGGACTACTTCTATGTGTAAACTGATATATACCATGTCCGTCTGTCTGTCTTTGCCTTCTCCTGGGCTTGTTGCAGGCTTCAGACTCCTGCCAATGGGAGTAACTTTGCTATATCCAGGATACAGGCTATTACTCCAGGGACAGAGGATTAAATCTAGACACCGACTGTTTGCCTTTGAATCTTGACCCAGTGCAAGTTCTGGAAAAGATCATCTTTGTGTATCTGAGGGATATCCATTGCCTTTCAAGAAATAACAGTTAATGTCAAAGGTAATTTTGCAAAGTTATGTGGCTTTTTCATTCTCTGACCATCTCTATCAACTCATTTTCCTTTTCTTTTCTTTTTTTTTAATGAATGTTTCTAACCATTACTCTGTGCCTCCTCCATCTCTATCACTCTTGGTGTCTTTCTCTCTGTTTCTCTGACCTTATATTTCTCCCATTACATCTGAGTGTGATTTTTCATTAACCCCTGCCTCTTTCTCTTGTACCTTCTTTTGATGCACAGAATTAAAGATAACTTTAAAAAACAAAGATACCTCTGGATTAAATAGGGGCCTACTTTATAAGACTGATTCACCATTAACTGCAGAGAAGCACCTCCATACCTATATTTTCTCATTTTATGTAATTATTTTGATTTCACTTAATTTTCTCACTGTCCTAAAATGTAAACATAATTATCACCCATTTTATTGGTTCAGAGAGTGACACTCGGAGAATCTAAGAAGTTTGCTGCAGTATGTTAGCAAAGGAGCCAGGTTTAAAGCTACCTGCGTCTAGGTCCCAAGGCCAAAGCTCTTTCTGCCACATGCCCCTTTCCTGTTCTCCCTGGCCCAGAGCATTTGTAAGTTGCAGTGGAAATGAAATGACAAGAGCATTGCTCACTGTCCAGTCAAAGTGAGAAAAGCCATCTGTCCTCAGGGACACAGCAGTACTTTAGGGACTGAGCTCCCACGGGCAAGCACTCACCCAGTTTTCCACTAATGGTGACACCCCAGCCACATAGGAGTAATGTCCAGCCCTGTATCACACTCCTCACTTACCCAGGAGAAAGAAGAGGGCTCTCAGCATGCTGGTTGCCGAGCCCATGCTGTCTCTCTGCTCCTGGCTCTTCACAGAACAGGCACTGGCAAGCTGTGTGACCCACGGCTCCTGGGGACAGGCACAAGCCCCACGTGATGGGAGGGGAAGAAGCCACTGCCACAACCTCATGACTCTTAGTTCCTGTCAACCCTGACAGAACGCAGGGCTGAAGGAAGGCCCTGTCATCCTTGTCTCTGCCACGTGGCGGAAGGTTGTGGCCCACAATTAGGACTCACTGTGACATGCTGGGGTGCTAGTGTCTACCCAGCACTGTCTCCTGCAATCCTCCCACACAACACAGAAGAGAAGCATGGCTGGATGCAGATTCTCACCTGAAGACCCAGGCCAGTAAGTTCAGAAGGGATGGGGTAACACTGCTTGTCTGGATCTCCAGCTCCTTCTGTGGTCCCACAACATGAGGCAGGGTCAGAAAGCTCCCCTCCCTGGTCCACAAAAACAGCCCAGTCACTGTTTTTGTACCATGAACCCCTTAGAGTCTGGGGACACCTATGACTTAAGACTCTTTTCTCAGAATAATATTTTTAAATGCCCAAAATAAAGTATGTAAGGATTATAAAAGAAACCAGTTAATATTGAAATGCAGTTATCAAAATATTTAGAAAACAGACTTATGATATAGAAATATATATGCTTCTTTATTCAAATAGTAAATAGAAAGAATACAGTGGCAGGCAAAGTAACTACCACAATCCTGACATTGTGAGGAATGTGAAACATATTTAGAGAGACGTATAACAGCTACAGTGTAGATGAAAATATTCACAATACCTACTACCAGTAATAATAAAGTCACCCAGATGGTAATGTCATTGTGATTAGGCTACACTAGTAGCATCAGAAGAAAACGCTTTCTATTAGAGGTTAGAGGACAGAGAAGTGACTTTTTTGATCCAAGTCCACAGATCCCAGGCCAAGCACCCAGCCCTGGGGTACCTTTGATTCTCAACACAGGCTCAACCCACACATTTGGGGCCACGTGTTTCTGTACTTCTTTTGACACCTGTCTGACTGTGAAACCATCGACTCAAATGTGCAAGGAATGTCACTTTTTAAAGTGTAAATCAACTTAGTGATAATTGTTGAGCCCCATCCAACTGAGCTGGCAGAAATTAAAGTCTTTTCATTCTTAGGCTCCCTCAGCCAGTTCCCTGGGCACTCCCCATTATGCCCGGCATATTTAGAGCTATTCTAAATATGATATCTTTTTTACCTTCATCATAGGCCTACGAGTTAGGTGTGGGGCACCCCCAAAGTTATTCAGTGGGGAGTATGAGGGATGGGCTTTGAACCCGGCTGTCCGTAGACAGCCTGTGCTCTCCATACTGTGCTGTGCTTTCCTTGCAGGGGCACCACCAGTGCCGAGCGCCAGAGGCGGTCAGGTTGCCCTGGTGGCAACTGACACCCAGTGGGTCCCTATAGCACAGCCTATGCTCCTTCTGAGTCTCACATGAATGATGACATGAGTGGAGCAGGCTGTTCATGAAAAGAGAAGTTTGCTTCATTTCGGTGCCTTAACAAACACTTTGGATCAGACTTCATCTGCACCAGGAAAAATACTCCCTCTTGCTTCTCCTGAAACACATGCCCTTTTAACATTTTAATCCTACTTAATGAAGACAATCATGAGAAAATTGCTTCCTGCTAGGGGAACTTAAGAAAGTGCCAGTGCAGATGCGCTAATCTACAGGCAGCGCCTGGGGACCGCGGGAAGGGCACCAGGCGAACTGCAAACCGCCCGGGGCTTTCAGGTGTGCAAAGAAGTCTCCTGTTTACATGAAATTACTGATTTTCAAATGTTGGCAACTAATTTTAAATGTTTTTCCATGTGGCAGACCAAACCAAACACCGGTGATTAACTTTTGTTCTAGAATACTTCTTGAGAACTCTTTCAGGGCTCAGCCTTTCATACGTAAACCAGGACAGGAAGTTTCTGCAGAAACTTCTGCTTTTCCCCCTGCCGCAACCGCCTGAAGCTGGAAAAGTACAGCATCTGCTGCCTACTTGAAAGGAGAAGGTAGAAATGCAGAGGGCCACATGTCCCGTTAGCTAGAATCTGAAAGGTGACCTAGCCAGTGCACCTGGTGTGATGGTTCACTTGTTATTTTAGTGTGATATTATGCCCCCCCAAGCAGAATGGGAATCCAGCCCCGTGCTCCAGTAATGAACTGGTTCTTAACCTGACGTTTCTCCTGTCACAGAGATGGGATGACTCCCACTGAACTGGGAGCCAGTGAGGGCAGTGCCAGAGCCCCAGCCTATTGTGGCGCAATACATGGTCTCAACAGCATTTGTTGAATAAAAGAATCAATTCACTTACTTAGCTTACACCCAGTCCAAGCCAGCCCAGTCTCTAATTTACTAGTGGGAAGATTGTGGACCTCAGCTTACCTGTTGTCGGGAGGTGACATGTTCCGCCAGTCAGAGAAGAACCAGCCAAAAGCTCTGCTATTCTGCAGGTTGCTGTCCCTCCCTCAGTGAGGACATGGTCACTGTAAGGAAGCATGTGTCCTCCCCCAGCCCCTTAGCACCAAACACAGGGCACGTGAATTCACATCTGATGTGCCTGAGGTGCAAGTTGGGAGATGATGTCAAATCCATCATCTTCACAGGATATTTTTTTAATTAAAGATAGAGAAGATTTTAAACACACATTGATTAATTAGACTTAAATAGAACTCTGCCCCACCAAAGTTAGAAAATAGCCATTCTTTTGAAGCTTATATGCACTATTTATCAAAAAAAATTACTACATATGGGTCATGAAGTAACTCTCAGGTCTCAATTTCAAAAATGGATGACATTTCTTACCACAGTGCAACTGAATCAGATGTCAATTAAAAAAAACATTGTTTCCATGTGTTTGATTTTTTTTAAAAAACTTCTAAGTAACTCAAAGATCAAGACAATTATAGTGAAAATTAAAAATAGACTGAATGATAATAAAAATGTTTTATATCAGATAATGTGTAATGTAAGTAAAGTAATAATTAGAAAGGAATGCATACAGGTAAATATCTAGAAAAGAAGAACAGAAAAAGGATTGAGCTAAAAAAAAATCTAAAAAATTCTGGGAAAGAATAAACCTAAAAAAAAAAAAAATCAGATGAACATACTAAGAAATGTGAGAGCACAAAATAATTACTAGAAACCAAAGATGCAATAGAAAGACTCAACATCTTAAAATTTGTTTGTAAAAAGCTAATTATATAACAAACTTCTCACAGACTAAATAAGAAAACAGAAGAAGGCAAAAATAATATTACTAAAAGAAGATATAATATGACTTTATTTAAAATTAAAAAAACATAAAATTGTCTAAATAGACATAGAAAAGTACTTGATAAAATCCATTAAGCATTCATGATATAAAACATCCAATAAACTAAGAATTGATAAGGAAGTACTTAATAAAAGGTACTTACTGCAAAACCAACAAATATTATTATTATGGTGAGCCACATGGATGCAATCCTTTTAAAATTAAGGACAAGAAAGACTGTTCTCATCACAATTTCTATTCAGTATTGTCTGGAGATCTAGTTAGTACAAGTGTTTTTTTTAAAGGGGGGAATGAAAAGAATAAAAATTGGGAAGAAAGAAAAAAACTATATTCTCAGGTGATTTGTTTATCTATCTAGAAAACCTATAAGACTCAAAGACTATTTGTTAAAAATAACAATATGGATGAATACTAGGTGAATATTTTAAAAATTAATTAGATTTGTACACACTAGTAACAAACACAAAACACATTTTTAAAAAAAATTACTGCCAACAAAAATATATATTTTTGGCACATATGTATGGAGTATAATAGATGAATAGAATAGAATAGAATAGAATAGACCTAACAAAAGTTACTTAACACTCACATGGAGAAAACTTTAGTTCACAGAATTAAAGGACAAAACAAACAAAAATTGTGTCATTGCATTTAGAAAAAGTCAAAAATCTTGAAGATATAACATCTTCTCAAATTGATCTATAGTGTCAGTGAGCTTTGTACTCAACCACATTAATAATTAGGATCAAAGTGTCATGTTCCACATTTTAGATTGGTAACAATAAAATTACTGGGTAATACATTTGTGGCACATGAATGAACATAGGGGACATTATGCCAAGTAAAATAAGCCAAAGAAAGAAAGAAAACACTGCATGATCTCACTTGTATATAGAATCTAAAATACTGAAACTTAAGAAGCAGAGAGTAGATTGGTGATTGCCAGGGACTAAGGGGAGAGGAAAATGGGGAGAGATGGTCAATGTTATAATGGTCATAACAAAGGTTCAGTTATGCAGGATGATTAAGTTCGGGATATCTACTATACAGCATGGTGACTATAGTTAATAATACTGTATCATTTACCTAAAATTTGTTAAAAAAGGAGGAGATCTTGTATTCTCATCACACACATAAAGAAGAAAATGGTAATTAAATGAGGTTATAGACATATTAATAAACATGATTGTGGTGATTATTTTGCTATGTATAGCTATATCAAAACATCACTTTGTATAACTTAAACATCCAGGGTGGGGGAAAATTAGATTTATAGTTATGAGTATGTGAAACACAGAGTTTATTCTTGTATTATTATTAATCATTATAATGTTTTCCGCATGAACAACTGTAAACCTACTTTTCCCCCTTCCGGTATTTTCTCTTCAATTATACCTCAGTAAAAATGAAAAAACCTTAGGTAATGGTAAGGTTAATTGGAGAATGTGAAAATGTAAGGCACAGCATCTTTGAAAGCAATTTTCTGTTCTCTGGTAAAGCTGAAGATGCCTGTATCATGTAATCCAACAGTTCTGCTCCTGGAGAGATAACCAGGGACACGCTTAGACATATACATTCAGAGATACAGAAAAGAATATTTATAGGACGTGATTTGTAAAGCTAAAATACCTTGAAAGAACCATGAAACCCATTAATAGGAGAAAGAATAAATAATTGATGATACATATTACTTAGTTATAAAAATGAATAAACTACAGCAATATAAACAAGTTTTCTAAGATAAATCTTAGAAAAATAATATGTGTAAAAAATCAAATTGTAAAAGATAACAAACAGAATGATATCATTTTCATGAAGCACAGAAACAAGCCAAACAAAACAATAAAAACTATAGAGAACACTTACATATTTTTCATTGAATAACATTTTAAAAAATCATTAGAATAATATACAACATTCAGGAGAGTGAAGGGAGAGGATAAGAACAGGCAGATACAATGCAGAGGTAATGTTTTAGTTCTTTAATTGTGAGATTGGTGCATAGGTATTTGTGTTATTACCATGCTTCATTAGTAGGAAGAGCATATGCTGAGTTTTTTCCAGATAAGTCCTGATTTATGCTCATTAACTTAGTGCAATTATAATGGCATCCCCTTTTACTCTCAAAGTTTTGACAAAGGCCAAAAGGTTTCAATCACAAATTATATAGTCTCCTAATTTATAACCCACATATGATATGAAGATTTAATATTTATTAAAGATTACATAATTAAAATGTAATTTAAACAAATAGTAATACCAGCAAGGTTGTGTTAATAGAAATTTAAATTGTTTCAATCATTCTAGTCATAACTATCAACAGTTTTAAAGGCTTACACAAGCTTTGACCTATTAACTGCATTTTAAGGAATATAGTTTAAGAAAATCATTGAACAGATTTATAAGGATATCTACATGAGGATGTTCATCATACAATTATTAAAAATTAAAAATCAAAACAACATATAAAAATCATGAACCAGGCTGAATTGAACTAATAAGCAGACAAAAGAACACACACAAGTGAATGTATACTTTTACCTTTATCACTTTGCTTGAGTTTCACTAAGAAAATTGGTGTAGATACCTGTTTCCAGGGACAGAAGTTAAAGTGGTAGGCAAATGTGGTCAGTGGTGCAGCCCACTTGTCTCAAACCTCTTGCAATTAAAGGACAGTGCAACCTTGAACTATGGTTAGCAGAAGTAATAAGGTAAAGTAAGAATAAGTGTACATTTAGGGGTGGGCCATAGGGAATCACATAGATAAATGTAATCCAATCTCACCATAAATACACACACACACACACACACACATATACACACATATATATGAATACATATATATGTATATGGCGTTGTTTTAATATTTCCTCATTATAAAAATTATACTTATGCTTTTACATATGGCTTAATTTCTTTCCTTATCTCTGCATGACTGCACACAGTTCTGTTGCTGACCCAAGAATAACACTGTGATTCTAAATTTTCTCAAATATGGCCAGGTCATGATAAAAAACATAAAATCCACTAAGGTACTAATGCAAATTTCATTATTAAAGCAATTAATCTTGAAATAATGAAACCACCAAAACCCAAAAGCAACTTTAATTTTCAATTTTTTCCCAATGCCTCATGGGGGCTAAGGAACTAGGTACTTGTTGATGTGACTTTGGGAAGCCATGGATTAAAGCTATGCTCAACATCTTAAAGCTCCTTTGGCTCAGGGGCTCCTCACCGAAGAAACCTATGCGTGCTTGCTAAGAACCCAGTTCAAAGGGAATTCAGGGGTGTAAAGCATCTTTCTCAAGCTGGGCCTTCAATTTTATTCACACTTGGCCAACTGCAGGCTGTGTAAGAATTAGGAAACTGTGAGGTATGCAATATTTCCCTCACTATTGAAAAGAGGAACTTCATTCTCAGCCCATATTTCTTAGAAGGTTGTACAAGTTAGCATTTATCAAGTTTAAAAATCAGCATAAACGTAAACCACCCATATGCCCCGTTTCTTGACTTCAACCCTGAGTAATGGCTTTTCTGTTACTTGGGCATCTTAGGTGATGCAGGAAGCTTCTTACAAAAGGTTGCCAATGTTGAGGGTCTCACATTCTACCTCATTTTGTCAGGAGGAATTAAAATTTTTCCTGGTTCTTCTGCCTAGGATGTGAGGCTTGAGTCATTTACAAATTCTCAATTTGCAGATGGGATTCTGCCCAGGAATCACAAGAATTTAGTACAAATACTAATTTCCTTTGTATTAATAAATGTTATTGAAATGAAGATTCTAAAAATGGACTTATCTGAAGAATGTCTTCTTACCTAAACAAACCCCAAAATTTAACTGCTTGGGTAATACACCCACCAGGATATTGCTTACTAAAACAGAAAAAAAATAAGGCAAAAATGCTGGAGAGAGAAGTAGTGTTGGGATTGAGTCAGGTTTTTTAAAAAGAAATTTAGAGTCTGTTATAATGTAATGATTAAGAGCCTAGACTTGAGGACCAGATTGTCTTGACCCTAAACTTAACTTCTCTGCTTCTTAGTTTCTTTATTTGTAAAAGGGAAATTAAAAAAAGTATTCATAGGGTTTTTATGAGGAGTATGTGAATTAACATGTCTGCCTCCTGA